TCTTAAGCTTTAGCGCTGTCAACTTTACATTATAGGTCATAAGTTACTGTTTGTTTTACATAGGTTGTAACATAAATGCTACACTTTACAACATATATATTTCAATACTTATAGACAGAGTTCTAACCTACTTATAGTGTACAATTCTTATTAATAAACTTCACTAAATACAAATATTATTATCAATTGCACACTATTCATATCATAGGTGCACAAGGTTTTTGTTGATATTTGTTTTGTTTATTATAGAGTTAAAGATTTTATTCTATTTGATATTTGATACACTTAAGACCTGTACCCTAAACAATAGTTACATTTCACAATACTCAATACTCTGTTTTTTATAACTTATAATTTTTGTACAGAACGTTAGGTTAGGTTAGGTTAAATACTTTCTCATATGACTGATTATTTATGGATAAATTGTTATGTTGAAATACATTCAATAGAGTACAATATACTTCCTACAGTCTTATCTTATTGGAAATTTGTGTTTAGCCCACATAAAAATGTATGGTGTAACTTTCAAATAGATTAATGTTAATACCACAAGTCACTTATCTTAAAACCACTGGATGACTATTCATTTGAAAAGTTTATAAATTAATTTATAACGTTGATGATACATTAACTACAAACTGTATAAAGTGTATATTATTATTACCAGGCGAATACTTAATAAAACCTATATAAAACTATAACAACATTTTTCAGTGGAAATATATAGAAAAAATATAGACACAACACTAATATATTGACCCTATTCAACACTTGACTGTGCTCCTTATTAGTTCATTTTATACTTGCACATTAAACTAATTAAAACGATTGTATAGGTGGTCGGAGCGCAACAGGTACCAGTTCACGCAGAAATTGACAATGCCGATGCAAACGGTGGCGCAGAAATCGTCGAGGTGGAGTTCGTAGAGGTACAGATGGAAGATATCGACGAGGAAGTTGTCCAGGTGGACCAATTCCTGATGAACGACGACAACGTAGAATTTATTGAAGTTCGGATGGACGAAGTCCTAATGGACGACGACGAGGTAGTACCAGGCCGAGAAGAGATGGTGGACAACAATGACGGGATGCAACTTGAAATCGACATTTTACTCCAAGGCGTCGATGAAGTGGTCAGTGAATATTTCTTCATATTACCTATATCTATGTTACAATTTGTAATTCAATTGCAGTTCGAACCAATCCCCTGGGTGTTCCGGTCGAACAGCTAGAGGGCGTGCACCAATGATAGATCTTCGGCTGGCGTCCAACATCCGCTCCCGGAAAAGCATTACATTGGGGCGTTGAATGCAGTCTGTAGAGATTGTGGTGCCCGTCACTTCGCCATCGAAAGTACCAGACAGGGTGGTTTCTATACATGTTGTAATAGCGGTCTCGTGACCGTAACAGGAGAGCGGGTGTTGCAACCCGCACCTGTGTTACTAATGAATTTGTTGACTTCAGATTCAAGGGAAGCCAGGAGCTTTAGAGCTGAGATTCGAAGGTACAACAACAGTTTGGCATTCGCTGCGTTCTCCAGTGACTTTAACCCCAGGCGTTTGCCAGGTCGTGGGCCTAGGGTATTCTATGCTCAAGGACAAGTGTATCACAGGACTAACAATGAAGTCGCCCCAAATGTAGACAGGCCACCGAGATACTGTGAATTGTATTTCGTGAGTTCTGAGCAAGCAAACCGGGCTCGCTTGCAACAGAATCCAGGCAGTTTATTGGAGCAAGTGCTTGCAGACCTAGACCAACTGTTTCGGGATAACAATCCATACGCCCAGGCATTTCAGTAAGGTGATTAAAGTCATTGAATTATATGAAATGTACTCATGAACACCAAAACCCCGGCTTAGAGCTCATAATTTGTACACATTACATCTATACAATATTATATTATGTAAATTATTTTACATTTGACAAACTATTTAATTTTCACTTATTAACTGATTCAATTTCATTAATTAAATGCGATTAGGTATCACACTTTGTAGGTACACGACATATTATTAAACTGTTAACTAACAATTATTTCATTTTAAATTAAAATTGGTCTAATGTAAATTTTTACAGCATATATTTCACACTCCAAGAATTTTCACAATATTACAACAATTTGAATTGTACATTGATGCCACACAAAAGTGGTGACTTCCATCTATCATTCGGGTGTGGGTTGATCATATTTATAATATAAATATTCAATGACAATAATATTGTTCTGCTTATAATATATTCTTACATTACATAAATACACAAAATATGTACGGATAATAAATTAATGATTGTTACAACCTTTTTTGAAACTCATTGGTTATTACAAAAAGGGTCACTAGCTATAGAACAAATTGATGAATTACTTAATGTTGTTAATTTTCATAACATTCAAACAGTATTCACAAGTTTGGAATTTTGTAATAACAATAAACACTACAATAGTATGATTGTATAATTTCAATTATTTCAATCTATATTTTTAACATTATTCCACTGAGCTTGGGCATAATTTATAATTTTTACACACTATATTAAAATATATAGTAATTAATGTTAATGTTATATATTATAATATTATTACATTACACTTCACTATCGTTTATTTTATTCAGATACATAGTACCAAAATAAACCCCAATAAGACTTAATATAAACTTTATAATGACCAGGCATCACCATATTGATATATTATTACTCATTAATGTTTTCTTCACCTTTCTTTATCGTGTGTGGTTCTGTATACATACATATTAATATATGTGCAATAATCATTACACTGCAGTACTGCACATTATACAAAACAAATGTAACTAACGCTTGAACATAATGACTGACCTAGACTACTATATGACTGTATTATTCCTATATATGTTATGTGCTTTACTGTAATTAAAAAATATATTTGTAGGAATATGAGTCAGTTATGTGCGGATGAAGAAGCCCGGGCTAGGAATGATCCCGCAGTGGCACCGAGAACAGTCAGTATGCATTTCGTCTCCGACACAGCCAGAGACCAACGGCGTTACGGTCCACCCACCGCAGATGAAATTGCGGCTGTGTTCGTCGGTGACGATGGCCGACCGCCGAGAGACATCAATCTGGTCATGTACAACAGGAATCCAACCGACGCTCATCACCGGATGCAGACGTTATCTGCAGGATCACGTCACGCTGATCCAATGCTCTATCCAGTGTTGTTCCCATACGGTGAATGTGGTTGGCAAGACAACATGGAGCAGCGCGGCAACCGCGTCAACGCGGTCCGCACACGGAATACTATCCGCGCGTATGCTTGCTATAGATTGGCCATTCGTTACCAAGGAAACAACGACTTGCATAACAACCAGTTTAGTATATTACACAGAGCTGGATTTTTGTTACAGATGTACGTGTGCGATCTGTATGTTAGAATGGAATCGAACAATCTGAATTACATTATTCGGAATCAGGGTGCGCTCCTTGCAGAAGCGTATCGGGGCCTTGTGGACCACGTCAACCAACAGCTCCACTTGGACGTGCCGGCTAATCCCTTGGCCGTCGGCCGCAGGGTCATTTTACCTTCGACGTTCGTCGGGAGTCCCCGTTACAATAAAGGCTGTTATCACGACGCTATTTCCATTGTGCGAAAATTCGGTAAGCCTGATCTCTTCATTACTTTTACATGCAATCCTCGGTGGCCGGAGATCACAGAAAACCTAGGGAGATACACTCTGGCAAACGACAGGCCCGACCTGGTGGCCAGAGTGTTCCACGTCAAACTCAAGGCTCTTATGCACGACATAACAGTCGGTAGGATTTTTGGTAATGTTAATGCTTATGTATACACTGTTGAATTTCAGAAACGCGGTTTGCCGCACGCGCACATACTCATCATCTTAGGGGAGGACAGCAAGTTGCTCGACGCACAGGACGTCGACAACATTGTGTGCGCCTCCTTGCCAGACCCGGAGACTGATCGGCGTCTGTTTGACTGCGTGACGTCGCACATGATTCACGGACCGTGTGGTCCACTAAACCCCAACAGTCCATGTATGGTGGACAACAGTTGTTCAAAGAAGTTTCCGAAACAGTACTGTGATGAGACGGTTTACGTCTCTGATGGCGGCTACCCCATGTACCGCCGTCCGAACAATGGTCGTGTGGCTCTTGTCAGACAACGAGAGGTCGGTAACGAGTTTGTCGTTCCATACAACCCGTATCTTCTGGCTAAATATGACGCTCACATCAATGTTGAGGTGTGCTCCACCATTAAGAGCGTTAAGTACATTTATAAATATGTCTACAAGGGACATGACGCAGCTACTTTGGCCTTACGGGACGGAGATGAGGTGTTAAGGTAAGCAGATTCAATAATGTATTGTTCTCATATACAGGATCTTAATACTATAATAGCTTTCATTGTTAGTCCAACATTGTATAAATTAATAATAAATACATTGATCATGTAGGTACATTTTTATAACCTTTTCATTCATACTTTGCTTAATGATTAAATGCTGTACATAGATTAGATAAGATTTCAATTGTTCAGTTAGTAGTTAGCACTACACTTACCCGTACACCTACATAAAGATATGCACTAATATTTTACTACTTCACTTACATACACATAAGTTCATATTTTTTGGAGTTTACAACTTTTTACAAACTATTCATTACCGTATATTATATTATATATTATACAACTATTTAAATTGTACACCGATAGCACAACAGAGTGACTTAAATCTATAATTATGTTGAGGGGATGGGGTGTTAGGTTATATACATGTAATTCATTACAGATTAAACGATTAATGTACAACAGTTGTGTTCATACATTTAAACTGTATACCTACATAACAACATTAATTAACTTATTCTACATAATATCATGTGTGTTTAAATTTGGCCAAATATATCATTTTTACTTATAAAAAGATTCCACTCAATCCATTTTAATGTGTATAGGTACAATTAAAAATTTGTTCACAACATTGTTCTTAACTTATCAACTGTTAAATATTTTATGATTTGCAAGTAGGTACTTAGGCCATAACTTGATTCATTTTTACTATTTAAATGTGCATAGGAAGGTATAATTAATAACTTCTACAGATTTAATTTTAAATTTCTAACAACGGTTACCTAACAGTTGTTTATTTAAATTTATAATTGATGAAATAAAAACAACAATCTCTTTACAGTACCTATGTATTTCAATAGCATTCCAGCAGATTCTATTGTGATCACCAATATACAATTTTGTAATAACCATATATTTACTTTTATTTAAATCTATACATTCTGTTAATACGGTTATTATATTCAGTCAACTTCAATCGTTTAAATTTAAATTAATTTTTTCAATTTCATTGCCTCATTTTTTTATATAAATAGTACCAATCAATGAAAAACTATTAATATATATTTGTGATGACCTCATTGTATAAACACACAATTTATAACATTATTGTTTTTATTATATTACACTGAATTAATTTTGATTTCAGTTACACCAACTCGCGGTATGTCGGCCCGCCTGAAGCCATTTGGAGGTTGTTTTCATATGAGATACACAACAAAAGTCACACGATCGTAAGACTTCCGGTCCACCTGGAAGACAATCAGACCTTGTACTTTGCTCCCGGACGTGCTGAAGAACGGTTAGACGATGATAACCAACGTCGTACTAAACTAACAGAATTTTTCAGACTCAACACAAACAGCGAGGTGGCAAGGCAGTACCTGTACCACGAGATACCGCTACATTACAGTTGGCACCAACCTAGCAGGACATGGTCGCCACGTAGACATCAAATGGCCAACGAGACGTTGGCTCGGATGTATATCGTCAGCCCAATGGATCAGCACCGTTTCCACCTGCGACTGTTACTTTTGCACCGGAGAGGCCCACGGTCTTTCCGAGACATTAGAACGGTCGACGGGATAGTGCATGAGACATACGGGGCTGCGGCAATTGCACTGGGACTCATAGAAGACGACGAAGCGTGGCATGCGTGCATGCAAGAGTCTGCGACGTTGGACACTCCCGGCCAGCTTCGGTATCTCTTCGTCACGATACTGGTGCACTGCCAGGCTACGGAACCGCTGAGGCTGTACACGAGCAACGAGGACAGTATGATGGAAGACTTCAATCGGCGTTGGCAAGACGTTGACCGTGCGAGGGCATCGACTCTGAAGGCCATTGGAGACCTTCTGCGGGTACACGGTAAAACGCTCCACGACTACA